CATAATGATTCTATGATTCTATGAAACAAAGCAGTTGTTAGCCATAAACCTTGTTCCAGTTCTGTCTGTCATGCATCTCAAAGGGGTAAAGCTTTATATGCCAAAACTGCACATTGCCTTCTTTCCTTGGTGCCTGCTCATTAGTGCTATTAATATTTGATCTGCCAAAAGCCCCAGATTAATTTTTTTCTAATGTGTTAGAAAGAAAAACTGTAAAGTTTTCCAGCTTCCAGCTTCTCCGAATGTTGTGAAATGCAATTTAAAATACTAAAGGAAAAAGATCCGGCAGAACTTGATTTGCAGGAGCTAACTAATTCTCTCTGTGTTGGATTTCTTTCTTTTTTTTTCCTTTTTTTTTTCTTTTAGGTCTACCATCTTGCAGCAGCAGTTCAACCGAACAGGGAAGGTGGAGCATGGTTCTGTGGCACTACCAGCTGTTATGCGTTCAGGGTCCAGTGGCCCAGAGACTTTCAATATTGGCATCATGCCTTCTCCCCAGCAACAAGTCACGATTGGTCAGATGCACAGAGGACATATGCCCCCGCTTGTGAGAAATCTTTGTTTTGTATTTTGAAACTTTTTTTGCATTTGAAACTTGTTTGTGCTGTAAGTAGTCAGAAACAGCGTGGTATGCATATTACTTAGAGCAGGAGGAGGATATTGAGTGTGACTTCCTGACTGTCCTACTGAACATGAGTTTTGAGCATCCCTGAAATTTTAGGGTATCACATTTAGACTTATTTCCTCATTTTCTTCAAAGCTGACTCTTGTAGCCTTCTCTTTCCTTCTAAGTAGTTAAAGTAGTATTCAAGGGCTAGGAAAAAAAGTTTAAAGACTGGCAAAAGTAAGCCATTTTAAGAAAAAGGAAAAAGGCTTACATTTAGCTTATTACTAACCCACTAATTTGGAATTTTTTAGCACACTTAAAGCTGATGGTGAGTTTTCTCATTCAAATAAAAAGACTGTGAAAAGCCCTAAACAGATTGTAGAGAATATAATCAATGCTTAAGATCATGACATACCACTAGAAGTGTAGTATGTGTAGTGGGTTCATCTTGACTGGTTGCTAGCTGCTCTGTCACTCCTGGTCCTCAACAAGATAGGGGAGAGAAAATAAAGTTAAAAAAGGTTTATCTCAACATAGGTCAAGATAGAGAGGGACGTCACCAATTACCTTCATGGGCAAAACAGGCTCAACTCGGGGAAAATGAATTTAATTTTATTGTCAATTAGAAAGGGGTTGGATGGTGAGAATCAGGCAAAAACTAAAACACCTTCCCACCACCCCCTTTTTTACCCAGACTCACCTTCACTCGTTCACTTCTGACTATTCTACTCCCTGCTCCCAAGTTACCAGTTTATTACAGCCCCTCTCTGCTGCTCCTTCCTTCTCACACTTTTCCCCAGCTCCTGTGTGGGTCCCCTATGAGCTGCAGTTCCTTTCGGGAGAGCCTGCTCCAGCGTTGCTCCTCAACAGGCTGCAGCTTCTGTCCAGACCCTGCTGCAAGTGTGGGCCCTCCATAGGCTGTAGTTTCTTTCCTGGAAATACCTACCTGCTGCAGTGTGGGGTCCTCTGTGGGCTGCAGGGTGGATATCGGCTAGCATGGCACTCTCCACAGGCTGCAGGGAAATACCTGCTCCACCATGGTCTCTCCCACAGACTGCTGGGAAATCTCTGCTCTGCTGCCTGAAGCACCTCCTCGCCATCATTCTCAGACATTGGTGTTTGCAGCGTTGTTTCTTGAAGAGTTTTTTTTTCCCCCCTTACTGCCATGTGATGTTTTGCCCTTTCTTAGTGATGTTTTCCCAGAATGCCACCAGCTTGGCTGCAGGGCTCAGCTGTGTCTTGTGGTGGGTCTCTCAGAGCTGTCTGGAACCAGCTGTGCTGGGCATGGGGGGGCCTCTGGCCTCTTCTCACAGAGGCTACCCCTGCAGCCAAAACCTTGCCACAGACACCCAACACAGGTAGCCATCGTGCTCTGCCTAAACCCCTTCAGTTTTCTGTTAGCTTGCTCATATTGATGGCAGTTTAGTTTTAGAATCATCCTTGATTACGTTGGTAGGCTATTCCAGGAAATCAATAACAATATCCTAGAAGCAAATTCAGTTTTCATGTTCACATTCCTAGAATGCAAGTCAGTAAGGCAGCTTGGTGGTTTTGTGTGTGTCTGCGCATTGTTTGATCTGAGAAAGTTCAGCATTTTATAAATGTGTACAAGTACAGAGGAGTATAAAGTGGCATAGGCAGCATCAAGACTGTGTCAAAGGTGTTGTTAGCTTTACTTTCTCCATTGAACCATGGAAAAGCTAGCTATCTGAAATGACCTGGTGTGATTGTTGTCACTTACTGTCTCTTCATGCATATGTATCATCTACTTGAAGTGCCATTTGGAACATAACACACCGCATTTCCTTGTTTTGCCTTTTAGACCTCAGCTCAGCAGGCCTTGATGGGGACCATCAATACCAGTATGCATGCTGTTCAACAAGCACAAGCTGACCTCAGTGAAGTTGATAACCTACCACCTCTAGGGCAGGACATGGTGAGTTTTCTAATCCCTCATAGAAATGGATCCCAGTGCTTTGGGGTGTTTATAGATCAGTTTAGTCATTGTCCTTGGATCTAAAGTGATATTGCTAAAGTTATTAAAATGAGATAAAAAATTTGTGTTCTTTTTAAGGAATTCATGTACAGTGTTCTACCTCACTCTGATCAGTCTTCTGAGATTAGATGTAGCAGATTCCTTGCGTAGGCATATCTAGAATCCTATTTTTTCACGTGCATACGTACAATTAAATGCAAACTATAGGCGGTATTTATGGTGTGAGTGACTGCCTCCCAGGCACTTGAAAAATAAGAACAAAATATGATTCTGTCGTTCCTTATCCAGGTTAGGGCAGAAGAACGGATCAAGAGACTATTGCTTATGGGGGACTGTCAATCAAGAGTGTTCAGCCTTTATGGATGCACTGTGTATAACATTTATCTTAAAAGGGCGGCTGTTGAAATGTGATAGCAATTCTATAGTGAATGATTCGGCAAAAGAAAATGTTAGCTTTCATATTTCACTTTAAGGGCTTGGTGGTTGTCCTCTGTTTCACTTTTAAAGGTTTGTGAAGGAATGAGAGATGTGCAGAGTATCTCTTCTTACAGAACCTCACTGCAATCCTTAATTCTTGGTTTTTTTTTATTGCCCTTCAGGCATCAAGAGTATGGGTTCAGAACAAGGTTGATGAATCAAAACATGAAATACATTCTCAGGTTGATGCTATCACTGCAGGAACTGCATCTGTTGTTAACCTTACAGCAGGTAAATTTCAAAGGGAAGGATTTGCTTGCAGTTTCCTAGTCAGTTATCAGTTTAATTCAAGTAACATAGGGACTGAGTATGGGGCAACTGGAGAAAAAAATTCTTCAAAATACTCCAATAGCTATAGTGTATTGACATGCGGAACAAGCTTTCTGTCCCTCCCAACACAGTTTTTGTATCTTTAATTTATCTCTTGCTCTAAAGGTAAGACCATTGATGAAGATAAAATGTAGCTTGCTTGTTCAACAAAGTAGAGAGTGTTCACAAGGTTACTACAAAAAAGCAGCATTGATCTGACAGTTGTTACAGAGAGATTATGTGTTTATTGACAGTAGTTTTTTTTTCTTCGGCACATTACAAGTTGAAGGAGGTATGAGTGGCTTAAAGGGATCAGTACTGTATTACCGTGGGTTCTTTCAATGTTGAAAGATAGCCGAAACTGTGGACTTCTGAGCAAATTGCATTGAATGAAGAGGAATTCTATTAGAAGATAAATTCTTGTAGAAGAAATGTAGAAATTGGAAAAATTATAGCAGTCTATAAAGTGATAATGAAATTATTTAGTAGGCATTGTTTGGCTATATTGAAATGTCTCTTTTGTCTCTCACCAGTGTAGCTTGTGGTAGCTGCCTCTTTTTCCCTTTTAACCACTAAAGCATTCTGATCAAAAAACATTTGCTTTACAGGGGACCCAGTTGACACTGATTATACTGCTGTGGGATGTGCAATTACAACCATCTCTTCCAACCTCACTGAGATGTCTAAAGGTGTGAAACTGCTTGCTGCTCTCATGGATGATGAAGTTGGAAGTGGAGAAGACCTCCTGAAAGCTGCTCGAACATTGGCCAGTGCTGTCTCAGACTTGCTGAAGGCTGTGCAACCTACTTCAGGAGAGGTAAGTAGCTGGAAACTTCTCAGGTTCTCTCTTTGAAGTGTATGGTGCTGGCTTTTTTGAGACATGTTAGCTTCTAACCCTCACCTGCTCAGTGCCACATAATGTCCCCTGTGCAAGCAGTTCTCTTAGTCAAGAGACAGTCAAGAGCCTCCATCTGTCTCTGTCTTTATACCTTTAAGTCTTGCACCTTGGTATTAGAATGTTCTGTATCATATGCAGATTTTAATTGATTTGTGTAATAAATAATTTATCTAGGTACTGTATTCTCTTTTAGAATCAAATTTCAAACAGTACTATGACTCAATTTAATAGGAATTGCGGAGAGACTCATTCATGATTTTTTTTTCTTTACTATCTTTGTCTACTTTGACATATAAAATAATCCCGCTGTTGTAGTTTTCCAGAAATGAGAGTAGTACTGACCAGAATAGACTATCTTGATCAGTTTGTTATGAGTTGGAGTCTGCAGCCGGTTTGCCTTAGATCTCTTCTCTTCAGGTATTTATATTTTGAAGAAAATTAAATCTCCTGATGTTTCAGATCAGTTGGCATATTGACTATCCATCCTTAATTATCCTTGGAGTTATTACAACAATATCTATTTACGTTCTTCAAAATTCTATGTGTTCTCTGGGACCACTTCAGATGAAATCCTTGAAACACGAATGTGCAGTTGTGCATGTGGAAAAGCAAAGATTTTTTCCAAAGTATTTCTGTTGTGTAATTATTTTTTTTGTACATGTTGATTGCATGCTAATTCAGAAGTTCCTTGAGGAAATCTGAAATTCGAGTAAAGCTCATTTTCTTTGAATTCATGTATTTCACCATTATATTTTTCCAGCCTCGACAGACAGTTTTGACTGCAGCTGGAAGCATTGGGCAAGCAAGCGGGGAGCTACTGAGACAAATTGGAGAGAATGAAACAGATGAAAGGTTCCAGGTAATGAGGGAGTTGCTTGTCACTGTCAGAACTGTGCAACTTTCTAATGAGGAGGCCACTGCATAAAACCAGACTTCGTGAAGTGCGGTTAGGAAATGCTAGGTTTTAAGTTTCTTAATGCTAATTGAGGTTAATCCATTATGAAATTATTTTTAATTACACAGTCATAGAGTGCTGATTTCACAGGAACCCCTATTTCATTCTCTGCATTAAATAGATGCTTTCTTGGTTCGTGGAGAGCTATTTGCACTGTACTCCCTTCAGTGTTTAAAATGCGTGGCTGATGCTGTTTGCACACTGGTCAGACTCTTGCTTTTCAAATTCTACTCTGCTTTTTACTTTCACCACTATGTTCATCACTGGTTTCTTTTATGGTGACTTTCAGTACCTCAGTGTTGCATGGATAATGTCTTTTATAGCTTTCCCGTAGGATGTGGAACTGTCGTTTCATTTTACAGATGGAAATTTGGGCATGGAAGTCCAGACATCTGCTAATTTGAGATTATATATATCTATATTTTATATATATATCTATAACCTGTTGATCTCTAAAATTCTTAATATTGTGTCACGCTTGATATGCTTGAATCACAGTTCCCATTTGCTTCAGTTGCAACAGAGTGAAGGTTATATCGCGCAGTGCCAAGTCAGACACAGAAAATAAGGACCAGCAAACAACTTATTTTTAAAAACTCTGCCTATCTTCACTAAGTACACTGTGTCAGATGGAAGATTCTAATTGAGTTTTCCAGGGGGACATGCATAGTCTTAATCAAGTGTTCTGAATGCCATAGGGATTTTGTGGGAAAAAGTGTATTAAAACTTGCACATGCACACAGACAACTTCAATCCTTGCCCTTCCTTGTGCTTCACAAACTTTTCAAGCTAGCAACCTATTATGCCACGTATTTATGAAGAATGAGTGAATGTTTCTTAATAAATAAGGAGTATTTATTATTAAATATAGTGGTTTTCAGAGAAGGGTTTGTTGTGTCTCTGTGTATGCATGTAAACCAAAAGTTTACACAACCTTTTGGTGAACTGAGTAGAAGAAAATGATTGTATTACAAACATAATTTCTTTAAGATGATTAGTATTATCCATAATCAAATCATAATACCTGTATGACTTAATAACAGTGTTAGCTATGAGCAGTTTAAAACCATTGTTCTTAAATGCTATGTTAAAAACATGTCTGGATTTTTTTCACTCAATGACAAGAACAGGTTTGCACCAGAACCAAGGGGGAGTAATTTACAGCAGCAGATATACCTCTGAAGTGCACTGTATGCAAGATGTCTGCTAATATAACTTGCAGGCCATTTTAAACACTTGATCCACTAGTAAATCTGTCTGCAAGTTTCATCAGAGTTCTCATTTTTATTCCTAGTTGATTATGTATTCCAGCGCTCTCTTTCTTGACTATGAGAAAGAACCTAAACATTCTGGTAAGTGCTATGGAGTGTTAGAGAAGGTGGGCAAGGAGAGGGATAGCTTATCGTGCTTTCATATCCTAAAAACAAAATGAAAACTAGTGGTCTTAATTTTTTTAATCCAATATTTTCTTTCTACTGTGAAGTAAAAATTATGCATAAGTGTATCTGTAGTATCTTTTTACAGGAAAGCCAGGTCACTTTAACAGTACAGGCATTAGGAAGGCTCCATCCCACTAAAAAAAATGAAGTATGCGAAAGCTAGCATTTTAAGTGGGGAAATGGGAAGAAATTTTCTGAACTTTTTCGTTGCGGGAATTAACACGAGTGTGTTTTAATTTCGCAGTTTCAGAATTAACTATTTTTGTATGAGGGAAGAATGTTCTGGGAATTAAGACCTGTTTTGAGTTAGATTTTAAAGCAGTAATTTATAGGGTTATATTTACGTCATGGACAAGGAAATATTGTGGTTGGAAATGGCATTTTCTAAAACAGAGTGGCAGTTGTCATTACTGTTAGGCACAATTAAGTACTTGAAATTAATAGTAACTCAAGTACTGTCTGTCCTCAGCAGTTTACTCCTTGAGGTTGTCATCCTTATTGCAGATATTTATCACATGTTTAGTGGTGAACTTCAAATATTTTTGTACTAATAGTGTGTTCTCAGGAGTGAAGATAAGCACATTGCAATTTGGGACTTTGTTCTTAGGGACTCTGAGCCAATTTGAAATTTGACAGCCCGTACTCGTTTAGTCCAGTGACTTGATAATGTAGATTGAGAAATGGTTGTACTGAGAACACAAAACTGTTGAGTTTTCTGAGTAATAGCCACGTTTGCTGCTTTACATGAAACAAAATGTTTAAGTTTTGATACAAGAGAGCTTCTTACCTTCAGGAAACTTGATCTTAATATAAACCAAGTATATACTTTTTTGTTCGTAAGACTGAGTTTTCCCTTTATTTTACCAGGATGTTCTGATGAGTCTGGCCAAAGCTGTTGCAAATGCTGCTGCCATGCTAGTGCTGAAGGCCAAGAATGTAGCACAGGTTGCTGAGGATACAGTCCTGCAGAACAGGGTCATTGCTGCCGCTACACAGTGTGCACTCTCTACTTCCCAGCTTGTGGCTTGTGCGAAGGTGAGGCTAGTAGTCTTCATGAGGTAGCAAGGCATCATTTTGAGCGTATGCTTCTGTGTATTTCCAACGATCTCAGGCAAAATACTGTGTTAATATCATAGTTCTAGGTTTATGCAATATCAAAATACCAGTGTTTGGTTAATAAATTGTCACCCATAACAGTAGCAATCAGGAGCCCAGAGTTCAAGAAGCACAGCTTTCCTGGGGGACTATGTAGGTTTTCTAATAAAGCCTAGAATTAGGATGGACTCCCCTCATCTAAAGCTAAATAATTAAAACTTGGTGTTCTTGCTGAAAGTAGAATCAAGTTGGTGATCACTGATTTTAAATATGTTTGCACTAATTTACAGTAGCCCAATTGTTTCAATAGATCCATTGCTTTTGGCCAAGTACTGATGTTCAGTGTAAGCAAATTACGAAGGAGTTCAGATGAGACCTCAAATTCTGAAGTTTGCAATTGGAGCATTACATCTTCTGCAGCCTTTTTTGTCTTAAATAAAATACTCATTTAATTAAAAAAAATTAAACAGTTTGGTTTCCTACTTGGATACTGCTTTTGAAGTCAGCAGTGTCATCTTTTGCAGGGAAATGGATGTTCAACTGTTGTGAAACATCCAGAAGGTTTATATTAAAATTAGTAGCCAGTATTAGGTATTAAATTTTCAATATTTCGTAGTTTATTTCTCTGGCTGCAAGGGCTTTTTGTAATGCATATATATGAATTTTTCATTATTTGGGCTTGATGTTCTTCCTGCCTCTAAATTGCTTCAATATGGCATAAGAGACCCAGCGGCATCCCTGTTTTCCTTATAAGATATGCACATTTTCCCATTGGTAAAAGCTGTCTGGATATGCCTGAACAAAATGGGGGTGGGTTGTTTGTAATCTGCAAGTTTACAGGGTTTGTTACTTGTCTTGTGGATTCAGAAGTAGAACGTTGTTTGGCTTGTGCCAAGCACTACTTTTATTTAAACGAACAAACAAAAGGCAGATGTAAGAAGGCTTTACAAGACCAGTTCCAATTAAGATTTCATTTTATTTGGAATTCCAGGGCACAGGAGTCTGCCAGTGGATGTAGTTACTCTGGAGGAGTGTGGCCCATGCCTGCCTTCCAGAACCACTGGCTAGCATGTTCTCAGTTCAGTAGCTGCTGAAGTGGCATGAAACAAGGTGGGGGCCTCCATTCTCGGAATCTAAATGGAGATTAAATTAACAATATGCAGAGCCCAGATTCCTAATCTAGATGTCTGAAGCTACCTATTTAAATACTCACTCTCAGGGTTTTCTGCCTGAAAACATAGGTTAAAGATTAAAAACTAATGTAGTAGAAGTTTTACTTGTTAGTAGTTAGGAAACTTGCAAACAAGCCTTTTCTGAGTGCTTTGTGCCTTTTCCGCATGCAGGTTGTGAGTCCCACCATCAGCTCTCCGGTATGTCAGGAACAGCTGATTGAGGCAGGGAAACTGGTAGACCGTTCAGTGGAGAACTGTGTGAGGGCCTGCCAGGCTGCCACAGATGACACTGAGTTACTGAAACAGGTCAGTGCAGCAGCCAGCATCGTCAGCCAAGCCCTGAATGACCTTTTGCAGCATGTCCGCCAGTTTGCAAGCAGGGGAGAGCCCATTGGACGCTATGACCAGGCTACGGATACTATCATGTGTGTCACAGAAAGTATTTTCAGTTCGATGGGAGATGCTGGTAAGTTTCTCTAATGGACAGTAACTTTCCACAATTCAGAGATGTGCACATTTCAAATAATGCGAGTAAAAAACCTTCTCTGAAGTGTACTGTGCTTCTAGGCTAGGCTGTCAGGATGGGTATTCATTCAACCCATCATAATAAATCAGCAAAATGCACATAGCTGTGTGCTAGATAGGATGAATATTCTGTGAAAACAATATTGTGCTAAAGGATCACTGTAATATTTTGTCTGTTTCCTACCACTGCTTCACTTCACAGAATTGTGTAGGAATTTCCCATCTCCAAATATGAAGACAGGTACCTGGGTGAATACTTTCCAGTGACTGATTTTATTATGTGTAGGTTTTGTTCTAGGTTTTGAAACTTCTGCGTTTTCCTGTGATGTTTCGAAAACGTGCAGCTTCTAGAACCAGCTAAAACTTGAGATGCCTAACATTTAACCAATCCAATATGAATTTTTAGTAAAGACCGGTAAATTACTTGGAATGGTGAAATTTCAATAGTTATAAATATTTTGAAGTAGCAACAGTGTGAATGGGCAGTATCAACTTGAAATCAAGACAATTCATAGAAAGGTTAAAATGGGATCACTTTTGAAAAGCAGTTACAGTGAATAGTACGGTTTTGATCTTTTGTGTTATATAAATGCAAGACCAGGGAAGAAAATATTTTGGTCACAGTTGTATCCACATTACAGTAGTCATCTTAACAGTTGTATTGAAGAGTTAAAACTTTCAGATGTTTCTTTTTTTTTTAAAGGAACTGTCATTTCAGCCATGCAGCACTCTTCTAGAGGAACATGTGTAAGGAAGTAATAAAATACACTGAGAATTTCACTTGACCCTACAGTCTTCTTTTTGAGAAATCTGAGCAGTTAAAATTTTTAAAAGGTGCACAGGAATGTTTGCTAAACCACTCTTAATCTTCCAATTGAAAGCTGTGGAAAAAGTTTTCTAATGCTCTGTAGCTATCCTAAGGAATTTAATTACTGTAGATGTGCACAGTAAACTGTGTTGAGTTTTATGTTTAGCTGTCACTTATGATTCAGGTTCTGTACAGAAGGATGCAGTGAATGAGATGATCTTGGATAGCATTTTTTTTCTGTTCACAGTCAAATATCTTGTTGTGCAATACTTAGGTTTTGGTAGAAGGCATTTAGATTACAGTCTGTGTTTCCAACTTAGCATTGCACTCCTGCAGTCACAGTTTTAACAAAGAGGAGACTCTGGCTTGTGACTGCTGTATTGTTGTACAAGCAGGTTATTCTTTCTGTTTGATTTAGTGGCTTAATACTGTAAGAAAGGGCATTTAAAGGGATTTTTTTCCAAGTTGAATATTTGGATTGGGAGCTGAGGTAGCCATTATTGGTAAAAATTTGAATTGCAAAATTGCGTACTGGGAAATAGTTGATAACAGCTAGAAACACTTAATTTTTTTTTTGCTTATGCCTGACCAGAGGAACCTAGTAAGAAGGCATTTAATTCTGAAGCCCACAAGTCACCTTTACACATGAGAAAAATGCTGCTTTGTTTTTTTCCTCATGATTTTTTAAGACCATTTGAAAAGAATGAAGCTTTAGACCCAAACATATCTTACCTGATTTGATAACCTACAGAAAGCCAAAGGCTTTATGGGTTCAAGTCTATTATGAAGGACTTCAAGTGTATGTTTTAGTGACCAAATGTATTTGCTCTAGGAAAGGTATGTATCCACTTCAGAAGCATTGCTGTTTCATCTCTGTGCTTCACCATGATCAGAATATGACTCCAGTATCTTAAATATCTTATTTTTGGCCAAAACTACCTAATTGGTGCTGAGTCTCTTCTGACAGAGTTCTTGATTTAGTTTATATTAGACAGAAGATAGTTCCCCAAAAGAAGAATAGGTGAAAGAGGAGTAATTTTTGTTAAAGGAGTGAAATCTTGGTGGTTTTTCTTTGAAAGCAAAATTATTAGTCTTCATTGGGCCAGGAGTTTCCTTGAGCTGTATATTCAAAATTACCTTAAAGTATTGATTTTTGGTTTTTGTCTTGCTGTCTAAAATGCAAATACTACATTTTTTGTTAATCTCCACTGTAGTGGTTTCCTTCATTTATGTTGCAATCCAAGATTTTGTTTATGAAGCTTCTAAGTTACGAACTATTTGTGTATCATTTTCAAGTCAAAAGAATACTTCAGCAAATATAACTACTTTCATCTTGTTGAGATGACTTTTGAAACCAAAACTGAAATGCAGAGAGAAGGAGAGTCAAAATATATTTGTATACCGCAGGTGAAATGGTACGGCAGGCCAGGGTACTGGCTCAAGC